TACAGGTAAGTCATATTATTGAGAACTTACTTTGGCTTGCGTACAGGTAAGTCATATTACAAGGAACTTACCTTGGCTTGCTCTTCTTGGAAAATACCAGGACTTTCTGCATTGGCAAGTTGTGTTCCAACAAATTCAAATGCATTAGTTAATGGGGCTATGAAGTTTCCAAACCGTTCTTCATCTTCACCAAGATCAACCATTAATAATCGTCCTAATGCTGTGTAAAAGGTGGTTCGGCATCGCATGTCATTAAGCGTTGTACCGTTGATACCAAGAAATGAAAAGTGTTCACTCTGTTTGCGATGAAAACAAAATTGGTAATAATATTATGAGGTGAAAGGATGATAGCTTTACATCATCATATTTAAGTAGGTTGAATAGACTCTGATGTTGAACTAGGTTCATTTGATTCCATTGTCTCTCAAAGTAGGTTGGATTGGCTCCCTAAGTTGCTTGATGGGATTCCATTGTCTCTCTAAGTCGGCTGCATAAGGATATTTATTTGACTCTGTTGCCTCCCTAAGTCAGCTGAATTCATTCTGATGTCTGCCTAAGTAGGTTGATTTGAGTCCGATGTCTACCTAAGTAGGTTGATTTGAGTCCGATGTCTACCTAAGTAGGTTGATTTGAGTCCAATGTCTCCCTAAGTAGGTTGATTTGAGTCCAATGTCTCCCTAATTCAGTTGGATTAAATCTGATGTCTACCTAAGTAGGTTGATTTTGATTCCAATGTCTCCCTAAGTCAGTTGGATTAATTCTGATGTCCATGTAAGTAGATTGATTTGATTCCAATGTCTCCCTAATTCAGTTGGATTAAATCTGATGTCTACCTAAGTAGGTTGATTTTGATTCCAATGTCTCCCTAATTCAGTTGGATTAATCTGATGTCTACCTAAGTAGATTGATTTGATTCCAATGTCTCCCTAATTCAGTTGGATTAAATCTGATGTCTACCTAAGTAGGTTGATTTTGATTCCAATGTCTCCCTAATTCAGTTGGATTAATCTGATGTCTACCTAAGTAGATTGATTTGATTCCAATGTCTCCCTAATTCAGTTGGATTAAATCTGATGTCTACCTAAGTAGGTTGATTTAGATTCCAATGTCTCTCTGAGCCATTGATCAATGATGTCTTCCTAGATAGTTTGGTTTGATTTCAATGTCTATACATATCATAATTCTTGTAACTTACCGTGTGGTTATTTAACATAAACTGCACTGCTTCCAGTTTCACTAATTTCCGTACACTGCTGTAACCAACTGATAAATCACTGAGCAACTGTAATGTTTTTGCAATCATAGTTTCACTCCGTCCCCAGTATTTCAAATTTGTAATTCTGAAAGGAAGAATTGCATAATTTGACAATGATGTGGATGTCACACTTTTGACTTTCTTCATATTTTGTTAAATTATTCCCGATAACTGTTTTTTTGAAAGGAAAACAAGTTGGAGCTTGTATGATCATTGAAACTACTTTGGTTTATCTGGTAAATAATTTTGTTATTATGTTGGAGTCACTGTATTTCTCATCAGTACACTGCATGTGATTTATGTCAGCCATTCTTTTGAAACTAAAATGCCATTATCACTCAAGCATTTCACTTATATCTAAGAATTATTTCTGTTAACACATCTCCTGGTTAAAATTACCACAAATTTAAAAAAATGAAGAAGAAAAAGTCAGTGCTAATAATCAAACTAAATGTTGATAAAATGTCACCCGTAAAAAGGTGCTGTAGCACACCATGCTCATCACAATAACTGAATGGAGCTATAGGAACACTGTCTATACTGGATTGCTAACACTAAATTACAGCTTTCTTGGAAGAGTTTTTCACCGACAAAACGCTAATATGTTTTGTCAAACCATTATTAGTCTTGATTAGATCATGTGTGCAAACAAATGATGGGGTGTTGTTATTTTTTACTCATCCGTGAAAATAATTTTGCACAAAAATGTCTAGTTCTACAGTTACTGAATAACATTATAATGTCTTGTCTATGAACCAATCTTCAATAGGCCTTTGATACAACAGGGTATTTTTATAAACAAAATGGCCACCACCAATTGGCCATCTTTGATCAGACTGTGTATCAAAATGATGTGCATGGGTGTTGAAATCAGATTGATCAGATGGAATGAAAAGAGTCTGTGCTAGGAAAACAATGACTGTGAAATTCACTTACATTTTGCTAATAAAGACATTTAAAATCATGGATTCATCATTCAGACCAAGAACTTGGGCCAGTCTTCTGTAAACCTGAAGAGAAAAGAAAAAGTGTGATTCTAAATTTATTAATCTCTTGTCATATTCTTATTCTGGAAGCTCTTTTAAAGAGATATGTAAACCAATCAGAGATGTATATTATTAATAATATCCTGTAAGCCATTTTGACACATCACAGATGCAAGAGTTTTCTAAATGACACATCACAGATGCAAGAGTTTTCTAAATGACACATCACAGATGCAAGAGTTTTCTAAATGACACATCACAGATGCAAGAGTTTTCTAAATGACACATCACAGATGCAAGAGTTTTCTAAATGACACATCACAGATGCAAGAGTTTTCTAAATGACACATCACAGATGCAAGAGTTTTCTAAATGACACATCACAGATGCAAGAGGTTTCTAAATGACACAACCAGAACTAATGATTTTTCTTGCGTCATTTAGCCAAACAAAACGTGTGATTCATAGAAATAAAATCTTTCTCCAAAGAAGGTTTCAAGTGGTAACAAAATATATCGTAATTGTGAAAATAAGGCATAAATTGCACAATGTACCACCTGGAGTCACTAACCAAAAGAAAAGACACCAACTATCATTTAATAAATCTGAGTAAACCTTGATGTACCTTTAATAACAACTTGACTTCTTTGTTAATTCAGGTCTTTGTATATTACCAGGACCTGGGTTTGTTTCAGTATCACCACTATAATTCCCATCAAAATGTAGCCCTGAGGGGTGGCCTTTACAGTTTCAAACTGAGATTCGTAATGGTATGACTCATGTATCCACTAGCCCTGACAACTGAAGCTATATTTAGACCACATGTGTCAATGTGCTTGACCAAGATTTATAAACACTAACTGCAAAGTGTTGTGTGACCCAGTATTTCAGTGATGGCTCTTTATAATGAAATGCAATTTTTACAGTTTAAAGATACAACAACATTTCTGACCACTTTTTTCAAGATTTCAGTGGTAATTTTTCATAAAACCAAACAAAAATCAAAGAAAGCTTAGAAAGAACTCCCATGTGCTGAGAGTATTGGAGACACATTAAATATAATTCGAAATTACTTAGCTGAAAACTAATTATGCAAATCAGAAAATTAATATGACCAGATTTGAGTGTAAAACTAATGAGGTCTGCGCAATGTAACAGAAAATCTATGTCTCCAAGTTTAATTGAAATGTGATTAGAACCAAAAAATTATGAATTATTATGCTTATTAGGGAATTAATATGAACAGATTTTTACCCCAAACTAATTAGGTTTGTACATTGTCCTAGAGCATCTTTGTACTAAGTTTCATTGAAATGGAATAATTAGTACCGTGAAAACTCCAAAATTTCGACCCCTCTAAAAATTCGATTGGCTATTTATTTGCCGGGTTTCGGTGTTTTATTTACCTCCAAATTTTCGACTCCACTAAAAATTGCCGACTCATTCTTATTCGAAAATTGCGACCAGTTTTAGTTTTCCCCCAAACGAAAAAAAAAACCGATGTGAGCGTTCAAACGGGACCTTCCTCGAAGGCATGAATCCGGGTTTCTGATTGACTGAGAGATTTTTATTTTATTGGTAACGAAAATATATTCTAAATAAACGAAGTTTCAAATAAAAACGAACACAAAAATCTCGGCATGCTGCGT